TTTCTGCCCCCAATAAACAAAAGCTCCCTACCGCACTGCTTCTGTAATATGTCTGTGCGTAAATTATGCATATTTTTGATAATTGTAAATTGCGTCTTCATTTTCCGAATAGCAAACACCTTCATGGCTAATAGTATGCCATGATATATTCGGAAATTATTTTCGTCATTCGGAAATTTTTGGCCTACACCCCCTCCCCCCCCCCCAACTATACATGCTAGCTACGGCCCTGGATACAGACTTGCCGACTGGAACTTTTCCAGTTGCACATCCTTAAAAAAGGCACTGAACCAAATGCTATACCTCATAGCAAAATGTATTATTAAGAGCAATGCATGAAGCTAAAAAACTCAACGTTAACTATAATCTAAATAGTATAAGCTATTGAAAAAAAAAATGCTGCGAAAGAAAGTGTGGCAAAAAAAAAATCGTACATGGTGATGGTGGAAAAAATATCTTGCACATAACGATCCCAGAAAAAAAATTCCCTGCCAGCAGTAAATCACCCCCCCCCCTTCAAAAGTTAAATGGTCGGCCCCTAAGCATTATCAGATGTTTGAGTTGAAATTTTAATTGGCTGTTAGCCTATTGCCAATATTGGATATTTTCGAACGCACGGGAAGTATGTACCAAATGGTAAATAGAATTTAACAATATATATTGAAATTTCTTTGTTTGTTTCACAAACAAGTATATATCAAATATGTTGCTAAATCACAATCGCTAAAATGTTTGTGTTGCGTGTTGAAATGTATATTAAGCAGCGCTAACAACCTAACTCAAAGTTTTGGCCGTGAGGCAGCATTTCCTTGCGTTAGTAACTTCTAGTTATAGAACTACATTGTTTACTACATTGACCTCGACATTGACATTGTATTTCATACAGTATGATATAGCGCTCGATGCTTTATACGCCTATGCTCGGGTTGAAGGCTTAATTAAATATTCAAGACAAAATACATGTAACAATAACTAAATACCAATAGGCAATAGCAGAGCTTATTTAGCCTAAGTCATTCTTTCTTTGAATACCACGACATTTGAAAACCTTTCCCGATCGGGCATGTCGAAAGATCTGGCGTTTGTCTCTGCTTATAAACAATAATATTCTGCTGAGCAGAAAATGTTTTTTTCACCAATTCCCAAACAATATCGTTAGCTTCGAGTAAAGAAGAAGTCGACATGCTTGAATGACCTGAAGACGTGTTCATTCAGGCTGAAAGCTTCGAGCTAAGAGGCTTTGATCAGGTTGTGTTGCCCGTTTAGTCATGCAAATCGAAAATTGCATAACCAAGGCAATCTCGTACCCAGAGCAATGCCTGTGCGCGGGCTAGGATGGCATTGGCTCTGAGGAAATTGAATTTTTCCTGTGCTGTGATTGGTTTAACGTTTATCAATCGTGCATGCTGACAAAGAACCGGAACCCCTAAATTTAGGGGTTCCGGTTTTCAATTTCGCCAATGTCATCCTAGCCTGCGAACAGGCTCTCAAACTGAATTGAGAGCCTGCATCGATGACTAATGAATTTGAATATCTGCGTCTCAAATCGTGACGCGAAATTCTCATTGGTCAAATGCTATAATTTATATGTTTCCGCTGAGCTCTATATATGTCAACTGCTGAAGCACTATGCATAAAAAACACATTAACAGATCAAATTGGTCTTGGCCATCTTATCTGAAAGCACGAAATGTTCTGTTTTGAGAAAACAGTATTTAAAACATTTGAACTTTTGCTTGAATATCTTATATTTCGAAAAACAGTATAAACTGTACGGTCTAAATTTAGTTTGCACGGTCTAAATTTAGTTTGCACGAAAGTTGTAAACAACACCATATAAGGATAAACATTCCATATTTGGAAAAACGAACGTTACGGGGCAGATATTCAAATTCATTAGTCATCGATGCAGGCTCTCAATTCAGCTTGAGAGCCTGTTCGCAGGCGAAGCAACACACAGCGAGCAACCACGCAGCAATCACACGCGTACGCAATCGTTTTCCACGCGCTTACGCAACCGGTCATGCATGTGAAAATATGCAGGACCGCTCTGTTGCCAAGGTAACAAAGCCAAAATCAATAACATACGAGAATATTTAGCAAAAATATCGCCTAAAGACCATTGATTTGGGTAAACAAAATAATAAATAAAATACTTAGGCGTAGAAGTGCAAAGACCATGTTCGATATGTAGAATTGTTTCCTTTACATTGAGTTATTCTTAGATTCAAAAGACTCACTTCATGCACTGGTTTTGTACAAATTTATTACATAAAACACAACATAAAACACATAAAATCCCTCTCGTACAATTCTTTCTCGTATTTTTTGATTTTGGGTAGTACCAATGTGAAAATGCTGTGCTGAGTGGTTATATTACTATACCTTAAAAAATGGACCTTCGCTCGAAACTTCTCGAAAATATGCTTGTGATGTTACTCTGAGTGTATATCTACACCTGAAAAATATGCCTGGCAACGGTGGGAATCGAATAAGTCGTTCTTTTAATACCACTGGTAATAAACCTCTATAGTTTGTGACGTCTTTCCGGCAAACATACATAAGTCACACGACTGACCTAATAACTAAATTCCATGCGTCAATGTACTGTAGTGTCTACATCCTAAATGAATTAAAACTATATATTTATGTGTTTAAAGGTAGACACGTGTACACTTCACGTACTTTTTTAAAGAAGTTGAGGCCAAGCTGATAATGACGTGCGGACGTCGAACATCGAGTCACTCACGCTCGAGCTATATCGCTTGCAAATCTGTTCTCACGTGCAAACTGAAGAACAGTGACTGCTAAAACATTAAGGTTTCTACATTTTGTAGTTTTCCATGGCGATATTATTCTTTCCACAAACCCATTCAGGGAAGTACATACAGAATGAGGCCTAACTGACTTTTCGCTGTTTTTTATCCAATCAAAATACAACCTATGCATGCATGCATGCATGTGTCTCCATTAATAAGACATATATCTTTATACTTAGGAACAACTTTCAAATAGCGAAAGCTTCTCAATACTTCAAGGATGTATACGTAAAACCGTATTGCAGAATACCACCTTATGTAATGGGAATGGTACTGGGATATGTTATTTACAAGTATTTTTCCAAGAGGTTTCAACTAAAATGGGTAAGACTTTTACTGATTAATCAGGAAATAGTTGATTGTTCAGAGGCGTTTTACTTTGGGAATATTTGTAGAATTTCGCGACTGACCTCTATGCGCACGATAACAATGCATACTGCGCAGACATAAAAAATCAATACGTTTGATTCTAATTTCCGGTTATAGCTACTTGTGTTGTAATTGTATGCTTGTGTTGTAGTTGTATGCTTGCGTTGGAGTGAGTCCATGAATTTAGTTTGAAAAAATCTTCCCAATATCAAGAACAATTTATTTTTATTCATTTCCCCAGAAATTCGTCCTAGCTATATGGATATTGGCAGTATGTGTAGCACTTGTTGACATATACGCTCCATACAGCGCCGTCAAAGAAAATCCTCGAATTTGGACTAAAGGGGAGAGAGCTGTTTATGGGTCATTACATTGGACTATTTGGAGCTTTTCCATCATTTGGTTAATTTTTGCTTGTCATTACAACTATGCAGGTATGTTGCATGGTTATATAGATGTATGTTTGTGCAGCAACGAACAACCAATATACTTTCAAAGTCTACAATGTTAAAGTATTAAAATGTTTCAATTCCAAATGAAAATGTGCTTTGTTAAAACATTATTTTTCTATAATTTTAATGCTCATTTTCTGCATGGCTAATTAACATTACTCAAATAAAGACATCAATCGTCTCCCATTTTCAGATTTCTATTTATGCCAATTTGTTTGGAAAATATACATGCATGCATTATAAAAAAGATAGTGAAGTTATTTTTGGCACTTTTCCTTCAAATTAGTTATTTTTGGCAAGTTCTGGGAAATAAATGGTGATGTAAATAATTTAGAAAACTCATTGATAATTTATACATTATGCAAATCGGTGTTATATCACATGAGGGTTGAGATTTCGATAATCAAACTTCGATTTCTTCGAAATTCTTGGTTAAAATGAACCACATCGCGGTCATTCCCCCAAAATAGTTGGTAAGCTTGTCCAATGATTATTTGATACATGACCAGTAATCAATATTAAGTTAACCTGATTTGCACTCATTCAACAAAGTTTTCTTCAATCTTTTTTTCTTCATTTGATTTACTGCGACTCGCCTTGTAAATCAAATAAAGATTGGCTGCTCATGTTTATATATCACCTAAAAACTAATAAACGTCATGAAGAAAATCCAAAAGAAAGGAATGTTCAATCAATGCCCGTAAATCGAATACAGATTTAGTCTTGAACAACACTAACTTTATGTTCGATTTTCCCGATCGGCTTAACGAACCAAGTTTGCCGAAATAATTGGTGTATCATGCAGATACAAATCAGCTTTATATATTACTTTAATTATATTAAACATGATTTACGTTTCAGGTCCAGTTAAAATACTCCTTGCTGCAAAGTTCTGGATACCTTTAAGTCGGATAAATTACGTTGCGTTTATTATGCATTATACAATTATAAAGATTTTTGCATACAACATTGAAGCTCCCATTCACTACACAGGCTTTACGTTGGTAAGCAGACGATCATTAGGAATTTAGGGAGCTTTAGCTACGAGTACAAGTACGACTACAAGATTCGTTATCCGGACACGCCCACATATCCTTATGCGATCTCCGTTTTGGCAAAAATTAGGCTTAGCTTTTGGGTTTTGTGTATACTAGTGCAGGTTCACACAAGAAAATATTTAATAGAGCTACACATTCGCCGGACATTTAAAGGGGCCCTACAGTAATTTTTTAGTCGAAAAGCCACCTTAGGTATTGTTTACATTTTTTGTTATTGTCGCTACTTGACATGCGCATCACGGCATTCATGCGTCTTCCGGTGTGCGGAAGTACTCATACTGCATGTAAGATACAGCCAAACGAATCTCCGTGGAATCCCCTACTTAAGGTGGCTTTTCGACTAAAAAATAACTGTAGGGCTCCTTTAACATTCTTAGCGATTGTTTACATTACCAGCGGTTGCCGAACCAATTAAGCACATGCTTGCTACTCGTAACATGACTTGCACTGGAAGTCGTCAGTAAAATAAGCGACATTATCTCCATGCATAGTCTAATGGGCTATCTCCAATTTAAATGTGAAAAAAATGTGCTTTAAGAATTCAACTCCCAAACCATGTGAAGGGAGTGGAAATAATTTGCTATCAACGTCAGAAATAGTACAGGCTACAATAGCTATTCACGCAAATTCAAAATCTATTGGAGCAGTATCCGCCTGAGTTATACACCATTTGGAGTTTGGTTGTAGGAACTATTTTCGTCCCCAGGCTACTAGTTTTGGGTCACTTGGTGGTCTGAAGACCCTCATGCTTATCTTCATGCATTTAAACTATTGGCTACCTCAACAAAAATGCGCTAAGCGTGCTCCCATTAGGGATCCTCAGTGTGGAGAGCAGATAGTCAACTTGCCTTGGTCCACAACCTGACTGAACCCAGGCTTTGCAATTTTTGGAACATGTCCATATTTAATGTTTTACTTTTGCATAGGCTCTCCTTCAAGAATGGGCCCTGTTGAGGGAACCTATCAAATATACACTAGCACTATGGCCCTAGATCAATTTCGCAGTGAAACAAGCATCTACTACGAGATTATGGCGTGTGTACGGAATGGCGACAAAAAATCTCGGCGTAGCCGTAATCGTAATCGAATCTAAAGCTCCCTAACTACTTGAAAATGATTGGAACGAGAACTTGCATGGTCACCATGTTTGAAGCCGCTCATGCTAGCCACCAAAAGAACTCCTTTACGGTTATTTTTCTCGTTTTAATTCTGTAATGATGAAACTTCATCGAAATAAAAAGGAAATAATTTTTGCGGAGTTACTAAAGAGCTCTGAATGAATCGGTAGACTCGTGAACTCGTTATTATATTCATTTTCAGAATATAAAAATGAAATACAAATGCAATGCCTCGGTTATTTAATAAAAACATTCAGGTTTTATCCTCGTGTATATTTAAAGCGTTCCGTGATGAAGAAATATTGCTCATATATTCTTTCAAAACTGAACATCAAAATTAATTGACTTTCGCTCTAGATCTTACCAAATTATATATTTTCCAATGTGGCTACATGTCAGTGTTGCTTCTATTGGCTTTCACCTATCATATGTCTTGGAAAATGAAGTTAACATTCCATGCAGTATTCGCAGAGATGGATGAAGTAAATTCTTGAACATGATGCACCAGCTGTGGTGGGAGTTGGGTTCTTTGTCTATGGAGAATACACATGCTGTGTATTTGTGGGGTTGAAGTATTCCCAATAGTCAACTTCAGGCCCATAGACTCAGATTATTTAATGTAAATACAATCAGTGGGAAATCACATGCATGGGCATCCGTAGTTCTCGCGGGCTCATGTGCGTGATCGGCGCAGTCTTCGGCGCAGTCTTTCATCCGTTGCGCACGTTGTAACCAATAATCTGTTGGCGTTGTAATGCCATTGTATGCAATAAAGTATTGGGTTGTAACTGAAGACAAAACCACAAGCATTGGACAAAAGTTCTAATTGTAAATGTAATTAGCACCAAATGGAGATAGGCGGGGTGGGCGTTGTTCTTTTTCATACATATTATATACCTGTAAGTGATTTATAAAAGACGAGTCACAAACACTGATCATTTAATTCGCTGTATTAGAATGAAAAAATAATATCAATTACATTCACCATCTGCTCGTAGGCTACGTCATATGCAGACGCAGTATAACCTTACTTGAAAGCAAATAGTGGAACGAAGAGATGTTGTTTAATTTACTTGATCGTACTGATAATGCTTACCGAAACCAAGTCTTAGTGAACGTGTAGAGAAAGCTTAAGGGCATAGGTTGTTTTCCCTTCCGATCGCTTTGCATGGGACATGCATGACCTGTTACGTCACCTGCATGCAGGTGTAAGTATACAGTCTCGGGACACACACGAGCGCGCGGGAATATGGCATTTAGGCGGACGCTTTTTCCGAGAATACTTGATTTTTTCAGATTTAAATATAGTAACCAAATAAGTGACTGATTCATTGCACATTCTATTATGTGTTGTTTGTTGTTCTAATATATAACCATGTGAATAACCATTATCGATCTATTTTGTACCCTAGGTCACAAGTTATCTTACTGCATTGGTTTTATCTTACGCCGTCGCTTTTATTGTCACAGTCGTGGTGGAACAGCCTTGCGCAAACCTCGAGGCCTTGGTTTGGAAGAAAGTAGAAAAGAAATAGAAGTCATTTATACGGAGTACAATATGTTGCCTGTTGGACATTTGCTGTTGTCATTTTTTAGTTAATCTAGTTAAATGTATTCATAAACGCTCGGACACGGGGAGTGCGGACATCGCCGGATACGCCAAATGTTGTTATTTTGTATTTTCGACCGGTTTGTTTTTCCGAAATATCTCCGTGATGAATTGGAGCGAGTGCAGAAGAGAGCCTTGGGTTGTATATTCCCAGGCATCCCGTATCATGATCAGGGCCGTAGCTAGCATGTATAGTTTTGTAGGCCAAAAATTTCCGAATGACGAAAAAAATTTCCGAATATTTCATGGCATACGAAGCCAAGAAGGTGTTTGCTATCCGGGAAATGAAGACGCAATTCACAAACAAAAATACGATTATTTTACGCACAGATATATTACAGAAGCATGTAGTGCCATAGGAAGGTCTTTTTGATTGGGGGGGGGGGGGGGGGGGGCTGAGAACGAGGGCCGAAGGCCCGAGGAAATCTTTAAATTTAGAGTCTCCGAAATGCCATTTCCTGGACTTTGGGGAACAGAATTCTGATGGTCAAAAAACAGCGTTTCAGTATGTCGAAATTTACAATTTACTTACAATTTAGTAGTACTAAATGGGCGAAGGCGTATTTAATTAAGTATATATTGGAGGAAAGTATGGGTAATATGATTCTTTGCAGTTTGTCATGGATAATGTAGTCGCTTAAAATTAATCAATTGTCAGTATTTTAATTAAAGGTATATTATTTAAATGGTAAAGGTCTGAATGATTTTCAAAAAGAATGGTCATTAGCAAATTATTGGGAGGGCTGCAGCCCCCAGCCGCCCGGTTGCTACGGCCTTGAGAAGTAATAAACCGAAAGCCATTTACCGATTTACGATTTGTTAAATGTTATCCATGTAAATGCCATGATTTCGTAAATCGGTTTATACTGACAATACAATTATATTATATTTTCTCTGTTTAATTAACAACTAAAATTTTGTTATACTATTATTGCCGTAATTTTCCGAATGGCCAATCCGATTTTCCGAATATGTTAATTCCAAAAAAGTTGGAGGGTTGACCCCAATACCCCCTCGCTACGGCCCTGATCATGATGCCTCATCTTGGGCAAAAATTAAGTTGGTTGATGAACATCAAGAAGAGTTTACTGAACGTTTGTTCAAGAGCATTTTATGCAATCCCACCTAAAGGCTCAATTATTTAATTCCTGACACTATTGATCACATTGAATATAAGTTTGGGGAACCGAAGAATGCTTGATGTTCCGCTTTCAACATTTCTTAAATCTAGTAGTAATATATATAATACATTATAGAAAAAACGTTTTAGTAGTTTGCATGTGTATTTTAATATCTCTTTTAACTTTTTAATCTCACTTGTATACATACTTATTTTTAATACTTGTAATTTTTCATTGGTTGTAATAACTCACGCAATTCAGCTTATATAGCTACAGTAGCTGCAATGTGATTTGATTAAATAATCTATCTATTTAGATAGATTATATAACACTGTTTTACAATTCAAGTTTTGGTAAAATCCTCTGTTAGAATATGCTCCTGATATTCTGTTGACAATGATAATAAGATTATTAGTTAATGAATGACATTGATTACTATAGATATGTATGTAAAATGTAATCTCTGGATACCACAAATTCCAGTACAAATAGTTGCTCCATGTACCAAACTGTATACCATTTATGGTAATAGAATGTGATATGTCAAAATACTTATTATAGATATAATCTTGTATATATATGTGTGATTTTTATTATTAAATACATTCTTTTGTAAAACTCCAAAGTTGTATGTTGTGCTTCGTATTCGAGAAAGAGCGATGGCAACGGTACAAAACCCAACAGGTTATGGGCCCAGAAGAGGCTTGATTTTTGATGGAGACGAGAACAAGTATGAATTATGGGAGGTGAAGTTTTTGGGATATATGCGACTCCAAAAACTTTGCAATATATTCATTCCTAGCAGTAGCGAAAGAGAGCTAGATGAGGCAAAGAACGCAGATGCCTTTGCCGAATTAGTGCAATGTCTAGATGACAGGAGCTTGGCCCTGGTCATACGAGAGGCGAAAGACAATGGAAGAAAAGCCCTGACGGTTCTGAGAGAACATTATCAAGGCAAGGGAAAGCCCAGAATAATCTCGCTGTACACAGAGTTAACGTCGTTGAAGAAGACAGAAAATGAGACAATTACGGACTACATCATACGGGCAGAAACTGCCACGACCGCATTGAAGGCTGCCGAGGAAGTAATCAGTGATGGACTTCTGATTTCCATGGTACTCAAGGGTCTACCAAACGCTTATAAAACATTTTCTACGGTGGTTATTCAACGAGAAAACCAGATGAATTTTGGCGACTTCAAAATCACATTGCGTAACCACGAAGAAAACGAGAAGTGCTGCAGACCGGCGGAGAATGGCGACAACGTAATGTACGTGAAGAAGAAATTTGAAGGAAAGTGTTTTAAGTGTGACAAGAAAGGACATAAAAGTTCCGATTGCTGGATGAAAGCAGAAAAATGGTGCAAGAAGTGCAAGAGCAAGACACACAATACCAAGGATTGCAGAGCAAGAAGAGACGGTGTAAAGATGGCCGCTGAAGAACGCTAAAATACATTCATTTGCATTTACACTTAAGGAAAATAATTATAATGGAGGTAAGACCTCAAATCTACTAGTAGATACAGGGGCAACAAGTCATATAATTAATGATAAATCTAAATTTGTAAATTTTTATGAGAAGTTCGACCCAAGTAATCATGTAATAGAGTTAGCTGACGGAAGTAAAGCTAATGTTGTTTTAGGTAAAGGTAACGCTAAAGTTAAATTGTACGATATTAATGGTAATTTAAAAGATGTAATGCTTAGTAACGCGCTGTATAGTCCGTCTTATCAGCAAAATATTTTCTCCATTCCTGCTGCAATAGAGAAGGGGGCTGCTGTTAGCTTAGATAGGCAAGTTAGAGAGTACAGGGACCCCGAGGGAACAGTGTTCCTTAGAGCCTGAGGCGTCTAATGACAACCAAGATAATTTAGTTGTGCCAAATAAAGAACACGTTGAGACTACGGTAAATGCTAACGAGCTGCCTCAGCAAATGGATGAAAATGCTGGTACAGCAGAGATAGAGAACAACGCGGCGAGATATCCAACACGCACTCGCAACAAACCAAGGTATCTTGATCAGCCAATTATTGACGACAATGTTAACCGCACTGTTGATTATTGCTTTAGGGCTGTAGACATTCCAAAATGTTACAAGCAAGCAATAAAATCGCTGGAGGCTAGCAAGTGGCAAAATGCCATGAATGCAGAGGTAAGCGCATTAAACGATAACAATACGTTTGAGTTAGTCCCACCACCAAAGGATCGACAGATAGTGGGGGGAAGATGGGTTTACGCCGTAAAAATCGGCCAAAATGGAGAAGAAACCCATAAAGCAAGATATGTAGCTAAAGGGTATTTCTCAAATTCCTGAGATTGATTATCAGGAAACGTTTGCCCCGACAGCTCACATGAGCTCAATTCGTACATTGCTACAACGTGTTGTGCAGAATGACATGATCATTCACCAAATGGATGTCAAGACTGCCTACCTTAATGCGCCTATAGATTGTGAGCTCTATATGGAACAACCAGAAGGTTTTGAGGAACATGGTGAGATGGTGAAAAATTAGTGTGCAAACTAAATAAGTCATTATATGGTTTAAAGCAAAGTGGGAGAAACTGGAATAATTTATTACACAAGTCTCTGCAAAAGGAGGGTTTTACTCAGTCACAGGCTGATCCATGTGTGTATGTGAGAATGATTGACTCGAAGCGATGTGTTATAGTAATTGTATGGGTTGACGATATCATTATCGCACCCAGTCATTTTGAATTACTAACAACTGTAAAAGAATCTTTAGGTGAAAGGTTCAAAATGAAAGACCTAGGTAAGCTATCTTGGTTTTTAGGTACAGAGTTTAAATGCAAGGAATCTTGCATCGAAATGAATCAGAAACAACCCAGGTAGCACACTAACGTTGTGACAACGTTGTGCGAACGTTAGACTTACGTCGAGAAAACGTTGTGTGACAACGTTGTCACAACGAAAATTTGTAGACTCCAGGGAACGTTGTAATAACGTTGTGACCAACGTTCAAAATTAACGTTATCGCAACCTTGTCACGACGTTCAGCACAATGAGTAGTCTGCGATAACCAGGTATATTTTGCCTAAAATATATTATATACTGACCTTATAAGTAATACTAACACATGTATGAGACGGGTTTGACTTTTTAAAGCATCTCTATACTTTACAACATCTACTAGTTCACTCAAAATCGTTGTCACAACGTTCTTTATTAACGTTATCACAACGTTAGGCGAACAATCATAATTAGCCGGGGGGTTTTGGCATCAATGAATGATTTTGCAATCGATTTCCCAAATTAAACAAACAGCTAGGTATACAGCTATTTCAATTAAGGTTGTCCACGAGCAAAGCGGAAATGTCGAATACGAGCGCGAAAGGCTGCTGGGAACCGCTTTGAAAATTCATTAAAATTAATGAATTTTCAAAGCGGTTCTCAGCAGCCTTTCGCGCTTCTTATTCGACATTTCCGCTTTGCTCGTGGACAACCTTAATTGAAATAGCTGTACACAATTTTTTGGTCATGACTGTATCGCCATTACATTGATCGTCTTTGCAAATTCTACTAACCATTATATAATGACAACCAAAAACATTGTCGGTTTAAAATAGTAATTGTTACTTCATTCTTACCATATAACTAACATATATAAGGTTATTACAATTAAAATGTTCCATGTAGAAGTTAAATTTTAATTAAACAAATCGGGAATTAGTGTATATATATACATAATTATGTTCTTGAGACGCGGTACAAAGCATATATTACATTATTTACACATAATTTTGTGTGAATCAGTCTGAATCGTTGAGTTCATTGACGGTGATGGTCGTTAAGGGTTCACGGCTCTATAAAAAAGAAATATTCCTAATTACATGCACACAGTACAAACTACTTGTGAAAAACATATTTTTCAATTTTGTTTGGTTTTCGTTAGGAGTTATATCATAATACACCCGTGCGACACTTTGGCTATAGAGCCTCATTTTCATGTACGTGATATCAGTTTAATGCTAACTTATCAATCACAAAAACGAGGCTCTATAGCCAGGGTGACGTGGTTTCCGGAAGCGTGTATTATACGTGTACAAAATAGGCAAATGATTAGTAATTATAATATAGCATTTGTAAATTCTGAACGCGCTGATTGGCTAAGAGCCGTGTTGATATAACTCAATGTCAACACGGAAACGTCGGAAAATTTCTTTCTTTATGTTTCTTTGTGCTATATTATAAAACAAATATAAAACATTGTTTCCGTATCGATAAACAGTTATATCAACACTCGTGGAAATTGTGAAAACTCGAAATTGTGTGAAAACACTCCACACAATTTCTCGTTTTCCCAATTTCCACTCGTGTTGATATAACTGTATATCAACACGGAAAATGTTTTATATTTGTTAAATAATGCATACTATTTTAATGTTCTTATATTGCACTCAAAAGCGGTTTATACTCTGATTTGAATATACAGTGTAGTTCCAAATTTGAAGAACTGTTTGCTCGTTTTGAAATCAGTTGATAACGACTTTGCATAAGTAAAATTAACAACAAAACTAAACATACCTTAAATCTTGAACCTCCAG